GGGGGGTGAACTTATTGACGAGTTCATCAAGAAGGTTTCTGCTGAACAGTTAGTTATTTTGTTTAAAGCGAGTCGGAGGAAGAGGAGGAGGAGGAGGAGGAGGAGGAGGAGAAGGAGAAGGAGAAGAAGGATAAGAAGAAGAAGAAGACTGTGACGCAGAAGACTCATTGCCGTTTTTACAGCCGCATACTTAGAGCCAGAGCCCTATATACCGAACGGGATGGAAAGTTAACGTGACTAGAGGGCACGTAAAGATAGGGAAAGATGCGGTCGTAACATTTATGTAGGTCATCTGCTTGGCAAGAAGATTGAGCAAAGCGACGGAAATCCTCTGCCGATTGAGATAAGCGTGTTTACAGAACTGGCAGCGCCTTCGATTGTTTACGAGTAAAAGACAATAAAAATTTCAGTGATTAAGACAGATCCGACGGGAAGCTATTCCGAACGAGTGGGTGTGAGAGGAGTGAACACTTGTCCTGAATTTACTTACCGTCGCACTTCGCATGCATTTCAAGAGTAGCGCGAATGAAAATAACTGTGGGAAGTGAGATCACTGTCCCTTTTGTGTTACTCATAGCCTTTCCTGTCGTAGAGCGGACGAGAACCGATGACATGAGCGCCCGCAAATACGCACCGTGTTTGTTGAATAAACAACCACTCAAACAGTAGCCACTTGGGCCAGAAACCCTCGAGGGACATATTTCAGATGCACGTCTGCTTTTTCTTTGTCTGTGCTGTATTGGTAGACACCTTTCTACTACAGCAGAATAAGAAATATTAGCTTAATGTACATAAAAACAATGAGTTTCAAGAAGAAAGAAATATAAATGAATATAAATTTATCTTACCTTCTAAGGCTCCGAAAGTAGTTTTACTTTCTCCTTCCCCCCCCCCCTTGGCACTACAGCCCCAGTGGGCCTAGGCCTACCTCCATGAACTTCTCCGTTCACTTCGGTTTTTCTAGATCTTACACATTCGGTAGGACTCCTTGGGCGGGTGATCAGCTCGTCGCAAGGTCTCTACCTGTACACAAACACAGAAAAACGCACACACACAAACTAAACATCCATAGCCTGAGTGGGATTCGAACCCACGATCCCGTTTTCCAAGCGAGCAGCAGAGGAGAAGACTGAATGATCAAAGCATATGCAGGACTCTTAAATGCATGAAATATGGTTTCGTATGTTTCTAGGTAATGCAACGTACGATTTTGTAAGCTACGTATAAAGGCACCTCAATTTAACACGTATCTACTCATTACTGAAGGTAGACCCTTCCGAACTGTTTTGTAGTTATACCGAAGTTAATATAAAGTGGCGCTCTTAAAAGTGCAATCTGTCGCGGTTTCTAATTGCAGCAGTCTTCCAAAACCGTCTCTATTTTCCGTGCCTTCATTTCGCTGAGAATAAAGACTGAATAAAGACGTGTAATTATGAAATATATATTCTTGTGGATATATACCACCTGAAAAATATGTCACTAATTGCCCTTCTAGTTACATTAAATCACATTTATATTGTTCTTTAGTATCCATGTTAATTGCACAAACATTCACTTTTAAATATGTTTTCTATTCTCTGAAAAATAATTCATTTTCAGTTAAAGAGAAGCTCAAAGAAAGCGGCAAATTAATATAAATACACAGTTTCCTCGGTGCAGCGATTTCTAGACTGTGTTCCCACGGAAGAAGGTACTAGCAAAAAATTAGGTCTTGGTGAAGAATTAAAAATGAAAAATATTTCTTATTTACTGAGACTTATTTATTTCCCACTTTCAGTTAGTTAATTTGCTTTCACAGCTACATGTTACAACTCTTCATATTTCTAAGAAACGCTACATTGAATCAGCAATGTTTAGAAATATTGCGGGTACCTTAATCATGGGTTTCCATTTGCACGAGTATCTCCATTTTAAATAAATTCTTTTCCAACACTGCATGACACCCTTAGCTTGTGAATTGAAGAAGAAAACCCCCGATAGGGAGTATAACTGATAATATATTAAACAAGTAGTGATGACTGATAAGGGGTGGTCTTTTTCTTCGGGATATACACGAGGTAAATACCTGTTATGTACATGAGACGCGCATAAATAAATTTGGAGAAGAAACATGATTAAGAAGAAGTGAATATTAAAAAGAATTTTATGGGTAGATAGTGGGATGTGAACCTTGTCAAAGTTACTCAGGATCGTGTGAAATAGCGCACTTATTTAGCGCCATTAAACTGAAGCCGTCAATTAACGTAGAGCGTTACCGGCCCGGCTTCGCAATCATCAGTAGTGTCCCTGCACTAGCGGGGAACTCAATGCGTGGTGCAGTACATGTGAATTTCAAGATTTTAACACAAGTTGCAAGTGAGACGGCCAAATAAGTAGTGAAAATGAGAGATGCGTAGCGGGATGCTTCAGCACAGCATTAATGTGTGGCTCCGACCCGTCTGCCTTGTCGTCGACGCGCCGCGGTCCGTGGTTGGGCCGTAGTAGAGGCCTCACAGTCACCCTGAGATTTTATGACGTAATCTGAAACATGTAAACATGACACAGATTGTAGCCACACATTTTCTTGTAACGTAACATGCTGACCGCGCACACTATTCCAGTGTGAAGATACTGTGACATGTAAACCATTTTCTAGGCAACGCCCGAAATATGCACATGGAACAACGGAATTGTTTTCTATGTGGTCCTCGCCATGCCCATTGCTAGGCAACAGTTCGCTAAACACGTTCCCGCAGAAGCGCACCCTGGAACAATTAGACGTCCATTTCTAGGCAACGGAGCGTAAACACGCCTATGAATTGTTGAGAGACGGTGTTTTCAGTGGGTACCGTGCAAAGTGGATATAAGAGAGTCGACTTCCGAAGTGTTAAGAGTAGTCAGTAGATTGAGTACGAAGGTGTACAGCGGAGTCAACCTACGAAAAGAAGACTTGATATCTGCTGTAGTTAAAATAAGACTGTTATAAATCCGTTGCCAGGATACGGTTAGTGAAGTCTGAGAAGACAGCCTGTCTTAGTGATTTGTGAAGTGGGTAGATTACCGATTGCGCCATAATTAATTGCGATTAAACAAGATTGTAAAGAAGGTGTTAATAAATCCAATCATCCATACAGGAACCCGTTATTATTAGTCATGCAAAAACCGCAGATGCGTAACAATACAAACTAAGGGATCGTAATTTGACATGTGATACGTGCATGGTGACATGTTATAAACATACGAGTATTTACTGAGAGCCGGTTGTTTCTGAAACCTACGAGGCCAAATCCTCTGGAATCATAAAATACACCCCTAATTAACTAATTTGATTTTTTTTTCAGACATTGACTGATGGATAGGAGAAAGGAACAGGTGAAGGACGGTATGTGGAAGCCTGATCCTTGAAACCATGAGCTGGACAAAGCTCGCCTCTTTGTTAAAGTGTCTGAAATAAGGGTTTCAGAAAGTGACAATATAAAACCTAGAATGCCCCTCTCAAATCGTATAGTGATTATCCTTTGGCGCGTAATATGTAATGAAAAGTTACATGTAGTACAAATATTACATACTGCATTGTATTGCAACATTGTCCTCCCATATAATCCCACATCTCCTTTACCTATGAAGTTTTAAAGGCACTATCTTATCGTCTTAAACGCTTATCTGTGCAAATAATTTGCCCTCTGACGGTTAATCGAGCAGAAGGCTATTTTACGACACTGTGCCAACTGGATCCACTTTAGAGCGTCGATTGAGACGACCGTGATTTACGTGCAGGTTGGGAATTTGAAGTATGAAAATGCGGTCCATTTAACGTAATTATTACTCTTTAAGTCACTAGAATACCTCAGTAAAACTCAGTCATTATTGCAGGTAAATCGTTCGAGATATATAATTCAATTACATTCAGGAGTTAAACCTAGAGCGTTACTGCCATGCGTGATCCAGGCGTGTTTAAGATTGAACTAGTACCTCCATGAAGAAGAGTTCGTCTTGAGAACATAATTCTTCCTTAGTCAAAAGAAAAATCCCGGCCTTTGTAGTAACTGAATAAACGTTTATTAAGTCTTCACGGGGCTGCATCAGTATAACTTCTATTCATTCGCTTTAATTCAGCCCATAATCTCATTCTCTTTTTCCATAAGATCCATTATAATAAGAGTATTATCTTCCCATCTACGCCTAGGTCTTCTATGTGTCATTTTCCAATTAATAGTTTAATATATTTTAAATTAGTTATATCCAGGAGCTATTTCTTCTGGGATACAACACTGTGTAGTCCGTTGAAAATCAACAGCTATTTCGGAGGAACATGTCGCCTCCATTCTCGCTGTTTTCTTGCTTAGCTTCTTCTTCGACGTGAAGGCGGAGGCGATATGTTCCTAGCAATGTCGGTTGATTTTCAAAGGACTACATGACGTTGTATCCCTGATGATAGAACCCTTCATAACCACGGCTTTAAATACCCAAATCCTGCTTAGCAATTGTATAAGGCCGCTTCCGTTTATCGACAGCACTAAGAGTACATATTCTTTTTTTCGTGTTTCTGTTCAAGGTGACATTGTTAATTGTCAAAACACGCTGTTGAGGCACTGCTGAGTGACACTAAAATTACTCTAATTAGATCGCTCAGCCCATTATAGTAGCAGTAAAATAATCCCAATTACAATGAGCAGATGCCAGAGAGGGTTGGCGCAATATCGCACTTAATTTTTGTTAGGGACATTAAAATTTCAAATCTCCCCCGGAGCAGCGGCTGTAATAAGATCTTAAAATTTTCCTCGCTCTTTCCGGACGAATACTGGACCAGAACCTTTAAATAAGCATCTCTCGCATTATACATTTACGACATATAACAATCTTCTCAGGAATTTTGGAATTATTTACTTCATTACAACAATATCCAGTATGGATATGGGTAACACCGAAATGAGTTCGAGTACGCTTTGTTAGTGGATGCTCGTAGTCGAACGTTTATAATTCACCCCCAGTCCGTGCTGAGGTCTTGAATGGTTCTTGTTCCAGTCGTACGTTATGTGAAGGTGAGCACTGGTTCCACTAGACAGCAGTGTGACAGATTATCAAAAATGTTTCCATTCCTATGACGTCAAGCGATCTGGCGAAACTCCAGTACGTTTATTATGGACTTGGAAAATTGAACAGCTTCCTATAAAATTTAGTATTTAATGTGTGTATTTAAAGTTGTCGAGCGATTTACTTTGAACGGTACAAATTCGCCGTTTTCTCTATACAAATTTTATGAATTTTTATAGAAAACACAAGTAACGCAAAGCATAGACCTCATCAAACAATTGTAATATATGTATACAGGAAACTCCAGAATAGTGTCACCACATTTTTTGTGTTCTCATCCTTTGTTTATACACGTTAATAGCAGAAAAATATAATAGAGGGCAAAAAGGATTGTATGCTACAGAAATGTCATCAAACGCTTCTTATTGGAGGTGGTCAAAATTCCCGCCATGCCTAATAAAACATCATGAGCAATGCCGAACATCGTAAGTGCAATGTGTTAACAGTTATCTGAGACACAACGAAAAGTAAACATATATATATATAATATAGGCCTATTTTAATACCTGTTGAAAGTATATTTGTTTCTGCACTGAATGAACATTATAACCAAAACTGCAAAGGTACAGAAAATCTGTAGGCCTAATTATAAGATACTAATTTCTGCTCTACTTACCCTTGTCGTGAGTACAATTGTAGCACATGAGGTGACACTCGTTGGGGAACATATCTCGGTCCCCAGTGGAGTCCTGAGCACAAACTGGTTGAAATTCCCGAGGACAATTGCAGTTACACTTAATCAGAGTGGCTGATTCGTAAGAAGCAGGCATCAACATCACAACACCTGCAGAATTCATGCACAACCAGTTACAACAGAAAAATGCTGCCACTACTACTTGACCTAATAGTACTACTACCACAATCACCTTTGCTGCTGCTATTACTACTACTACTACTACTACTACTACTACTACTAG